AAAACATGTTGACCCCATAAACATAAAACTATTACGTACCCACAAAGACCAATTCAAAATTAATAAAAAGAAAATCCTGAGTTCCAATCTCAGCCAGGCTACCATAGAACCTTCAGCAAGCCCTTTCTCCTCCTGCAGACTCATCTGCTTTGTGTGAAGGTGTACTGAAGGATGTGGGGCATTTGTTTGATGTATGTGGACGTGGGGTATGGCAGAGACTTGGTTCAGAAGCTCTACATAAGTGGATAACTATGGGAATCACAGACCATGGGATTCCATCCTGGAAGGATCACACATTCTGAAAAGCTTGGCTGAATTAAAAAGGAATGTCCTTCTCCCTGTGCCTCTCCAAGAACACAAAGGAGACCCAGTTCCTATCCCTACAACACTTCTTCACATGTCCCATTTCTTCTCCTGCCCTTTCCAGAGCCTCTTGATTTGATAAAACCCTCAAAACAAGTCTCTACTCGTCCCTTGGCCTGTGTCTCTCTGTGCTGCAGATGGAGTGGTCTTTTCTCATCAAGTCCTCTCTCTTCCTCCCCACTCTTCATTCTGTCTCATCCACAGCACCCCACCCCCAAATCTCTACACCCACACGACCTTCAGAGCTAATCTGGCAGCCACATGCTCCTCCCACGGAGCAGAGACGGGTGGGTAAAGGTCAGCATTGAGGAAATGTCCTTTAGCAGCTGGAGTTGGGGAGGCTGAGGAAGTGAGGAATCCTCTTCGAGAATGAGCTGTGCCCAGCCTCAGATGGGCAGCTTAGAACGGGACTTCCTGCTGAGCTGTGTTCTCTACCCACAGGGTGACAGTGGGGGGCCTCTGGTCTGCACCCCAGAGCCTGGTGAGAAGTGGTACCAGGTAGGCATCATCAGCTGGGGAAAGAGCTGTGGAGAGAAGAACACCCCAGGGATATACACCTCATTGGCAAACTACAACCTGTGGATTGAGAAGGTGACCCAGCTGGAAGGCAGGCCCTTCAAAGTATTGAACATGAAAACCTCTGTCAAGCAGAAACCTATAGGCTCCCGAGTCTTGGGAGTCCCAGAGCCAGGCTGCCGCAGATCCTGGCTCCTGCTCTGTTCCCTGTCCCACGTGTTGTTCAGAGCTATTTTTTACTGATAATAAAATAGAGGCTATTCTTTTAACCAAGGGAGGGTGCGTGAGGATGCATCTCCAGCCGAGGATCTGGCTGCAGCTCAGGGCTGAAGGATGGAACCCAAGCCTGGGACTGGGAGAGCCAGAAAGTCAGGCTGGAGCCCCGGTTTGGGAACCGCACTTTGGGTCTGTGGATTAGCCAGGACTCTTTCCATTCCAGGTGACAGTCACCTAATTCCAACTGACTTCAGCCAAAATGGAGCATTTATGGATACATATAACAACAGCAACAACAAAAAACCCAATGAACAAATATCCAGGGCTGGCATGATGACGTCAGGTGTGGCTGAGTCAAGGGGCTGAAGGGTGATGGCAGGGACTGTTGTCTGTGGCTGTTACCCTCAAAAGGGCTTCTCAGTGATGGCCATGATGAGAACAAAGAATTTCCCCTTGTGCAGGGAAGTTAATCTCTTTGTTCTACGCAGGCCTTCAATGGATTGGACAAGGCCCACTCACCCAATGGAAGGCAATCCTTTGATTCAAACATTATCAATTTAAATGTCAATCTTATCCAAAGACGCCCTCCAAGTTGACATAGGAGATGAACCACCACACTGCCCAGGTAGCCTTGACATAGTCTCTTACATCATTCCCGCATGTCAGAACGAACGTGCTTATGCTCACCCTACCTTAAGGACAATAACATATTGTCATCCTTCTGTTGAGCAACCTTCACGCTTCCTGAGGACCCCACTGATGTGGTTTGGCTGTGTCCCCACCCAAATCTCACCTTGAATTGTAGCTCCCATAATTCCCACATGGGAGGGATCCAGTGGGAGATAATTGTGTCATGTAGCATCTTCCCCATACTATTCTCATGGCAGTGAATAAGTCTCATGAGATCTGATGGTTTTGTAAGAAGTTTCCCCTTTTGCCTGGCTTTCATTCTCTCTTGCCTGCCACCATGTAAGATGTGGCTCTTGCCTTCCACCATGATAGTGAGGCCTCTCCACTACATGGAACTGTGAGTCCATAAACCTCTTTTTCTTTATAAATTACACAGTCTTAAGTATGTCTTTATCAGCTGTGTGAAAATGGACTAACACACCCACTTTTCAAAATCACCTTTCTTCTGTTCCCTATGCTGGGCCTTCTCCCTTTTGGAGCAGGCAGGCCTAGGCTCCCCTTTCCCTCACGTCTCAAGCTGTCGCCAGTTCTCCCTTCTGTCTCATCCTGGAGCCAAACTGATGGCGCTCCCCACTTGCTCTCTCCTTCATGCTCAGAGGCTCTCACTCCTTCTTTCAGCTGATTTCCCTCCATGGCTCAGCCCTGCTGTGTTCCACCAGTACGTGGAATGGCACGTCTGCACCAGGGAGAACTCCCCCACCCTGCAGCATGCAGCTTGTCGGGCTGGTGTGGGGTGGACCACAATTCACAAGAAGCCCTTTGAGAACGGGCTCCTGTCTTCTGCCCACGTAGACCCAGCGCTGTCACATGCCTCTTTCCTCCAGATTCAAATTTCCTGGGCCACCACCAAAGATGCAGAGGCAATTCAGGAAATGCAAATCTTTCAATGGAAGCTTGGGCTTTTCCTCCTGACGTATAGCCTGGGTGAGTGCTCTTCAGAAAGAGATTGTGAAAAAAGGCTTCCTAGATCTCCTTTTCCCCACTCTATCCCTGCTCCTCCAGCGGTCCTACAGCTACAATCTCTAGAAGTCATTTTTCAGAAGGTCCTGAAAACCTGGGGCTCAGGTAGGCCCAGTGGAGTACAGCCAACTAGAATGGTCATCTCAGGACATCACCAGTGTCCACTCCACCTTCCTGCTCACTGCACTGACTTCTGCGTGGGGGCCCTTTTCACCCACTCTCCAATTTGCATAGTTCTGGATGGCTGGCCCTTTGCTGGAGCCTGGGGTGGGCGTAGGACTCGAGCCTGGCCTACGACGACTTTGCTTTTGGCCACAGGGATGGGAGCAGCAATGGGCTGTGGGATTTATGGGTCATAAAAGCAAGACCAAGACTTCTGCTGGAGTTATCAGGAAGAAGACTCTCTCTCTCCTGGGACTGCAAAGATGGTAGGGTGCATGCTGAAGGTACTGCTCATGTGAAGGCTGCTGAGGAGTCTGGTGGTTCCTCTTATATGTCAACTTGGAGGGAATCTTTGAATGAGATTAGTGTTTAAATTGATAAACTCTGAAGAAGCAGATCACCCCCCATGATGGGGCGGGCCTCATCCAATCCGTTGAAGGCCTGAATGGAATAAAACGGATTGGCTTCCCTGATGAGGGACTTCCTCAGCAGCCCACCTTCAGACTTCATCTGCATTGTCAGCTCTTCCAGGGCCCTGCCTGCCGACCTCTAAACCAGAGCTGCACCATCGGCTCTCCTGTGTCTCGAGCCTGACAGTCCACACTCCAGGTTTGGGCTTGCCAGTCTCTGTAATCAGGAGAGCCAATTCCTTAAAATAAACAGCTTCATCTTATCTCTGTATCTATGTATTTATATCATCTATGTTTATGTCTCATCTCTATATCAACTATCTCTATCTGTCTGTCTGTCTGTCTGTCTACCATCTATCTCTCCTATTAGTTCTGTGTTTTCTGGAGAACCCTGACTAAAAGTGGGGAAGAGCTTCTGTACTGTGAAGGGGCTTCTTAAATAATGAGATGGAAACAATGTTGCTACTTTAGTTTTCTTTTTTGAGACGTGGTCTCACTCTCTCCCAGGCTGGAGTACATTGGCATGATGACAGCTCATTGCCACCTAGATCTCAGGCCGTCCTCCCAACTCAGCCTCTAATAGCTGGGACTATAGGTGCACATCACCACACCTGGCTCATTTTTTAAAAAATTTTTATAGAGATGGGGGTCTCACTATGTTGCCTAGGCTGGTCTCAAACTCCAGGACTCAAGTAATCCTCCCACCATGGCCTCCCAAAGTGCTAGAATTACAGGCGTGAGCCACTGCACCTGGCCGTTTCACCAGTGAATGCAATGCTTTGTCATGATATGGAAATTGTCAGTTTAAACATTATCCAGTCATTGAGATTAGCCAGGCTACAGGATTATCAAGTGTGTCCCAACAGAGCTTTCACACGTAGAGCTACAGCGTCTAAACTACACTGTGGTGCCCCAGTGCGGATGCATGGGGACAAGACAGGCACACAGAGACATCTGTTGGACATCAAGGGAAACGACAATGTCTGCTGGAGGTGGAGCTGACCGCTACTACTAAGATGTTTAAACTTTAACAACTTAATAAATGCAATTTTTAGGTATTTCTTTTGGCCTAGAAGCACCATGAGAAAAAAAGGGCTAAGACACTAAGGGTTCATGAACTGGGAAAGTTTGAAAACCTCTGGCTTAATGGACAATTGCTGACGTTAATGTTTTGTATTTAAGAATAAGGGGTAAGGCCAGGCGTGGTGGCTCATGCCTGTAATCCCAGCACTTTGGGAGGCCGAGACGGGTGGATCACGAGGTCAGGAGATCGAGACCATCCTGGCTAACATGGTGAAACCCCATCTCTACTAAAAATACAAAAAAATTAGCTGGGCATGGTGGTGCGCACCTGTAATCCCCGCTACTTGGGAGGCTGAGGCAGGAGAATCCCTTGAACCCAGGAGGCAGAGGTTGCAGTGAGCCAAGATCACGCCACTGCACTCCAGCCTGAGCAAGACTCCGTCACAAAACAAAACAAAAAGAATAAAGCGTGAGTCGTTAAAATAGTTTTGTGATGGGCAATCTGAAAGTAGCCTAAACGTTTCCTTAAAGATGACCTCCTGCAGCAGGGGACATGAAGTCAAGGCTCAGGTGTCCATGGGCTGTTTTGTCTGCTCTGCACCCAGTGGTTCCAGTTTATTTGGAGGAATCCTCTTCCTCATTGCCAGTTTCTGATCTCACCTTTCTCAAGATCCATTTCTTATGGACAGGTAGACCCCACCTCTGACTCCAGAGGTTGCATGGGACCAGGCTTGGCCAGTGAGAGGCCCTCAACCCAGGGCCTCAGGATGTCTTTCAGGATGGCCCTCAGAACCAGGCTTGGTAATCTTGGCAAGTCCCGGAACTTCACCCAGGACGTGCACAGGCTTTTTGAGATGAGCAGCTCTTTGTCTGCTAGGACTGACCCTTGGAGAATGTAAGCCTGGAGCTTCTGGGGGCCCCATGCGGAGGTGACTGCCCTGAGAGTGAAGTTGAAGCAAGAAGACTTCACATCCTGATGACGTTTTTATAGCACCTAGAGCCAGGCATGCCTGAAGCACAGATTTCTTTGTCTTTTTTGAGACAAGGCCTTCACTCTGTGGCCCAGACCTAGTGCAGTGGCACAATCACGGCTCACTGCAGCCTCAACCTCCTGGGCTCAAGTGATCCTCCTGCTTCAGGCTCCTGGATTGCTGGGACTACAGGCCTGCGCCACCATGCCCGGTTAATTTTTTTTTTTAATTTCTGTAAAGACAGAGTCTCTATATGTTGCCCAGGTTGAACTTGAACTCAGCCTGAGTTGACACAAGTGATCCTTCTGCCTTGGCCGCCCAAAATGCTGGGATTACAGGCACGAGTCACTGTACCTGGCCAGATTTCTTTTTTAGATTCATAGACTTTATTTTTTTAGAGTAGTTTTAGATTTACAGAAAAATGGAGTAGATGATACAAAGTTTTCATATGCCACACCTCCTATATCCTTGCAGTTTCCCTGGTATCAACATCTTCCATTACTAGGGTATGTTTGTTACAATTAATAAGCAAAAGATAATACATATGGATACATTATTATGAATGTAGATGGATACATTATTATTAGTCCATTGTTTCTTCATATTTCCTTGGTTTTTACCCAGTGTCCTTTTTTCTGTTCTGGGACCCCATCTCGGAAACATTGCATCTAGTTGTCATGTGTCCTAAGGCCCCTCTTGGCTGTGACAGTTTCTCAGCCTCTCATTTTGGTGACTTTGCTGTGACAGTTTCTCAGTCTCTCCTTGTTTTGATGACTTTGCCGGTTTTGAGGAGCCCTGGTCAGGTGTTTTGCAGGGTTCTCCAGAACTGGCATTTGTCTTATGGCAGAGCTAGTGTTCATACCCATACCCGGACTGTCTGATTCTACAGGCAGTGGACATAAGCACGTGCCACATTGCTTCTGGACCTTGTCCAAGGCAAGGGTGCTGGCCTGCAGGTTTGATACCTGGGTTTGGGCCCTGCTCAGTTTGCATTCACTCTCTGAGGGAGATAATTATTCACACTTGATCAAACTTTATGTCTTCCTAGGAAAAAGAATCTCTGGAGAACTCTAAGAGTCCTTACACAGTAGAAATCCTTGATTTTACATTTGCAAAGAATGTTGAGGTGTACCTCTGCCTGTTATAGGATGCAAAGTCTTTCTGTGTACCCCTGGAAGAACAATGGTACAGGAGGTGAGGTTCTTCACTGGGAACAGAGAAGGCAGCAGTCAATATAGTGAATCAACTCACATCCATGAAACACCTGAGGTCTCCTTCAGCAGGGGCCCATGGCTATGTAGGCTCCTCACTCCCACATTGTCCAAGGGTCAGCTGTGTTTTATTTTTTCCAAGTCTGCCTGCATACCCATTTTTCTGGCCAGCATCACAAAAGCCAAATATAATTCAGGCTCCTTTTTAGGCTTCTCTGTCTCCTCTTCTTCCTTTCTCTAGTTCGAGATATTCATCCTTTCATTCTTAGCCCTCAATCTCTTGTTCCTTTTATGTCCTCTATGTATTCAGAGGATTCGTTCAGCCTCCTGCCTTCAACCAGGAATGCCTCCAACCATACCAACTTAATTTCCATTTCTCCCCACAGGAGCAACAAGGTTTTCCATCCTCCCTGATCCCACCTATGGCTGTGGTTTCTCTGGGTGGTCAGTAGAGACAGTGGAAGGGGGAACAGATCATGAAGGAACGCAAGGGAATTTTGGGAAACTGATGGGAAGGTTCTGTATTTTTGCTGAGATGATGGCTTCACGGGTGAATGCATAGGTCGAACCTCTCACTACACTACACGTTTCAGACACACTCAGTTCACTGTATTAATTTAAACCTTAATAGGGTTGTAAAAATATATGAGTGTTGGACATCTGTGACTCTTTTGTGCTATGAATTAAGAAACTGTCTCCAACATGCTATGAGAGCTTGTCTAGAAATCTGGCCTTGATCTTGTTGTTGTAAAGGTGGCATCTCAGTAGTTACCAGATCCAGGGATGGAGTCATAGAATGAAAGAAGTGGAAATACCCATAGGAGTGATCTGGCCCAGGCCTTTCATTTTACAAGTGAGGAACCAGAAGCCCACAGAGGTCAGCGATTTGTCCAGTCACCCAGCTACTTTGTGGCAAGGTCAGGGTTGGAACTTGGGTGTCCTGACTCAGTCACTGGTCTGCAAACTCCAGAAGGGTACTGTGGCTCCAGGAAGGTCAGCTGTGGTCATGAGCCAAAGGGTCACACAGCCAGAGCCCAGCACAGTGCCTGGCACAGAGAGCCTTGTATGAATCATGCGTGTGCTGGTAAACCAAAAATAAAATTCTAAGCCTCCCAACCAGCTGACTGGACCCCTTCTCTCAACAAAGGGCCTTCCAAAGTTAACCTGAAACACTAGTTCAGGCCATGATGGGAGAGGGGAGGAGGCATGCCTCATTATGCCCTCTTCCTCCTCCTTTTGGAATTCAGGCACCACTAACGAGCTTTAACATTAAAACAGAGACATTAAGATCGGCCAACCAGAGTCTTTCTAGCAGTAAGACACATCACACGATAGATTGCAGGCCCTGAAAGAAATCAATGCATTTTACCCCAAAATAAATTTCTTTGACATATTTTGAAATGGCCCAGCAAAGCTGTGTCTTGTGGGGAAAACATTCTGTAGAAAATCCTCTTCCCTTTCCAGATATTTTCCCTGATCCAGGAGAAAACAAAGAGTCTGGCACCTTTTTAAGTCTGATAAACATTTACAATCTATTCTCTCTGAAGTCTGCTACCTGGAGGTTTCATCTGCGTAATAAAAACCTCGGTCTCCGCAACTCCTTATCGTAACCCAGATACTCTTTTCCATTGATTCCAGGTCTTAAGTCTTCCAACCAACTGCCAATCAGAAAATCTTTCAATCTACCCAGGACCTGTAAACACCCCTCCCCAACCTCAGCTTCAAGTTGTCGCATCTTTCTGGATTAAACTACCTTACATGTATTGATCGATGTCTCACATCTCCCTAAAATGCATAAAAACAAGTTGTATACTGACAACCTTGGGCACGTGTTCTCAGGACCTCCCGGAGCTGTGTCATGGATCATGGTCCTCATATTTAGGTCAGAATACATCTCTTCAAGTATTTTACAGAGTCTGACTCTTTGTCAGCACACTCTTCCCTTCCAAGTGCTTGTACCGCTGCCTGTTGCTCTGCAGCAGCGGGGCACCCAGGGTCAGAAAACTGACCGTGCACTCTGTCAACCCAGCCTCAACAAACAGGACATGGTGGCCTGGACCCACACATCTCAGCCATCTGTGAGGAAAAACACCAGGGCTTTTGGTTTTGCTTTGTTTGAAATTTCCAACTTATTTCAAACCGACACTTTCATAAATCATAAAATTGAACTATTCGAAAAATGAAATAGAAATGAACACATAAAATGAAATGCAGCCCACACTATTTTTTTTTTGAGACAGTATCTCACTCTGTCACTCAGGCTGGAGGACCCTGGTGCAATCGTGACTCACTCCAGCCTCAGCCTCCCAGGCTCAGGTGATCCCCTTGTCTCAGCCTTCTAAGTAGCTAGGACCACAGGTGTGCACCATCATGCCTGCTCATTTTATTTTGGGTAGACATGGGGTCTCCATGTTGCCCAGGCTGCATACTTTATAATTACAGTCGACCCACATAACCCAGTTAACTTTGTTAGGTTGCTTTAAAGGTTTCTAAGCATTTACTCTCCATTGCCATGCTTATCTCTTCATGGACTAGTAACAAGTGGTTTGCAGACCAGTAGTTATCTCTGTTCCCCAAGTCCAGAAGCATTTCCCAGAAGACCCAGACTTTAATCACCAAGAAATACAGGCCACCTGGCTACCAAGCCCAGGCTTTCTAAGGTATAGGAGGATCACATCAGAATATGGATTGAATTGGAGTGAAGCTTTCGGCGTGGCTCATGAATCATCATTTGAATTGAGACTGTAGACACTGATGTATTATTCATTGTCTTGAGCAGTAAAAACTCACAAAGCTTCTCAGTGTCCTAGCCCAGAATAGCTTAATTGGGTACTGTTCCTCTGCAATGCAAAGTGCCTGTTTAATTCTCAGTTCTGCATTTTTACATCAGAACCGGCCCAGTAAGAGGCATCTTCTATCTTTAGTTCCTGGCTTATTGCTCTTTGCTTAAGTGTGAATGCTGGGCCCTTCCCTGCAGAGCTTCTTGCCAGAGTGCTGTCCCCAGATTACCCTGAGACTCAGATGCTGCGTGAGCAGCTGCTGGGCACAGATGGGGAGAGGAAGGCAGCGCCCATCTGAGGTTTAAGGAGCAAAGCCAGGCCTCGGTGTCACTTACGCCGGGGGAACTAGGCTCCTCTGAGCAGAGCCATGGTAACCAGGTCAAGCCCAGAATGAAGCTGGCCATGACTCAAAGCTGAGCCCTGAGAACGTGAGCCTTGAAGACCCAGGTCCCTGACCTGTAAAGTGAGAATCATTGCATGGACAGAGTAAGGCTACTGAGGCTGTGACAGTGCAGAAAAAGCCATGAGCAAAGCCTGCCATGCACTGAACACTCAGGGAACGAAACAGCGCCAGGGAAAGCTGAGCAACAAGACCCCAGGGTGGCCTCAGGCCCTTAGAACCATCGGCGCTACCCAATTCCCTGTCTCACCACCAAGTCCCTCCCTGCAACAGGATCAAGTCCCCTTGACATTCTTCACATCAATCCCGGCAGCGAGTTGCACCCTTGAATGCCTCTGCAGTAACAGGGCATCCAGCATCAGAAAACTGAACGTACACTCTGTTGACCCAGCCTCTGCATGCTCCAAAGCCTCAGACTTGGATTCACAGGGCAGCCACAGTGCTCCCATTGCCCCCTCCAGGAAGCCCTTCTGGTCACACACGGAGAACTCAACACTTACAGGCAGCCCTCTGCTTTTTTAAAACAAAAACAAAAACAGTCTTATTCTGTTGCCCAGGCAGAAGCGAAGTGGCCCCATCACGGCTCCCTGAAGCCTCTCCCTCCTCCCACAGCAGCCTCCTGAGTAGCTGGGAACACAGGAGCATGCAACCACACCTGGCTCATTATTTGTTGTAGACGCAGGGTCCCCGTGTGTTTCCAGCCTGACCGTGCACTCCTGGGCTCAAGTGATCCTCCCACCTTAGCCTCTCAAGGTGCTGGGATTACAGGTGTGAGCCTCCGTGCCTGGCCCAGCCCTCCGCTATGACCAAGAGTACAGAATCCTATGCCGAGCCACGTCAGCCTGGCCGTGGCCCAGCAGATGGCGGCGTGCAGGCTGGACATCCAGGCTCTGGCTTCATGTGTGATGTCCTCAAGACACACATCTCAGCTCCTGCAGTCACTTCTCCCATGTATAGCTCCACAATTCCCGCCATCCTTGTCCCTCCTCCGAGAAGGCAACTTCCCTCCTAACACTCTTCCCAGAGTGAGCACGAGGGGCCGAGGGGCCCAGGGGCCGGCGCGGTGGTCCAGGCATGCGCCAGCTGTGGGCTCTGACACAGGGCCATCAGCCCTCACCCAAACAAGGGCCTCCAACAATGACCCCACCTCCCAGAGTGCCCAGGTCCTTTCTCTCCCCTCTGAGCTTCCGGTGGCCTGGAAGCCTGCACTGTTTTGCAGAGCTGCTTCCAGACTCATCCCCATCCCACACTCCCCAGAGGTGGACCCCAAACTGACCTTTCTGGACCCTGGAATGTGCAAGATTCCCAGGGCCCTCAGCCTTCCTCTTTCCGACCCTGCAGCTGCCTTGTCCCACGCCTGGGCCTCCTGGGGCTCTGTTCCTCCTGCCCACCCCCTTCAGCAGGCACCACCCAGGCTCAAAGCCCCAAGCTGGTTTCCCTTCCCTTCCCACTCCCTTTCCCTCCGTTTCTTTCCTTCCCTTCTCTCCCCCTCCCCTTCTCTCCCCCTCTCCCCTCCCCACCTACCCTCAGTCTTGGTGGATTGTCGTGGACTTGCTGTTGCTCGTTCACTCATCAAACATTTGCTGAGAATCTTTTATGTGCCGTTGCTGTTCCAGCCACAGGGAAGAGCAGGGAACATCACGTCATGCCCTCAGAAGCCGACACTCTAGGGGAACAGAACTGTAAACACACAGCTGTGGCTGATCGTGGCAGGTGGAGGCGATCGCAGAGAACAGGGAAGGAGGAGCGTGGGCGAAGGAGGGCTCCTTCCTACTGCAGCTCTCAGGGAAGGCCCAGCTGAGAGCCTGGAGGAGGGGAGGCGCAGGACAGGACTGCTCTGTGTGAAAGGGGTGTCTCGGGGCGGTGGGGGTGGTCTCTGGGCCGGTCCAGAACAGAGCTTCCCAGGGCTCTGCAGAATGAACAGGCTTCCTGAGGCGGGTTTTGGAGAGGTGCTCAGGCAGCCAGCGCTCAGGTGGGCCCGATGGCGATGGGTGCAGTTCCCAGATGTCGCCTCAAGATGGCAGAGTGACTCCAGACCAGACTCGAGGGACGCTGTGTGTCTCTCTGTGCTTGGTCAGGGCTGGAGAACCTGGTGGGGGTGAGGAGGTGGGGACACGGAGTCGGGGGTGACAGACACAGCCTGGAAGAGGAGGGAAAGCAGAGGTTTCCTGACAGCTGGCTGGAGCCTTCCAGGAGCGGCTGTATCCACCCATCCACCCTGTGGCTGCCACCCTGCTGGGCTCTCAGGGTGGGGCCCTGGGCCCAGGCATTGCATCAGATGAGCCTTGGCACCGCGGGACTCCCGGGGGTCCTGGGAGCTGGGGGACAGTTTCCCTCACTCTGGGGCTGGGGCCACTTTGGGCCCTTCCCTTCAGACACAGTGAGGCAGGAACCGGGGCCAACAGTTCAGCCCCTACCCTTCCCCCTGCCTGGAAGTCACCACTGGAGGAGCCAGGCAAGGAGCTGTTGGGGCAGAAGCCCAGTCACAGGCCGGAACCGGCAGCCCGAGGCACCCACGGATCCAAAGCCTCAGACTGGGAGCCACAGGGCTCCCATGCCCCCTCCAGGCAGCCCTCCCGGTTGATCAAGCCCACTGTGTGTTGTCGGATTGTAACGCAGCCATGCCTGTTCCCTGGCATCTGGTCTGTGGGTGCTTCTGTAGATATAGGCATAGCTCAATTGGTGCAACCAAGGCTTGGTGGCCCCTGCATCCTGGAGCATTTACCACCTAACCCTTGACAGAAAACATTTACTTACCCTGGTCTTGAGGGGGAGATGGGAGTAAACAGAGAGTCATCTGACCCTAATAAGTGCCAGGACGGAGGTGGGGCTGAGGAGGGGTGGAGCTGGGTCCAGTCATTTTCGCCTCTGAAAGGTCCCTGCACTGGCCATGGCCACAGAGCCACCAAAGAGCTTTGAGCAGCAGCGACGTGATCTAATCCCAGAAACGCTGGTGTGGGAAGTGGGGGTGAGGGGACAGCCGCAGAGCCAGCACCGAGGTGGGAGACGGTTGCAGAAGTCTAGGAGGGGCAGCCTGTGGGGATCGGAGGGCCCGAGGCTGATGGGATTTCAGAGGGTGGATGGGGCATGGGAATGTTGGGATGTGGGCTGGGTGCAGGGCTAAGCCTGTGTCCAGCACTTTGGGGGTCACACAGAGGCTCACCAAGCCCTGCCAAATACACCAGCAATGGGACCCCACAGATCATCAAGTAAAGCCCCTGGTTCTAAGATGCGAAACAAGGCCCCAGGAGCTCAGCCCAGCCACTGTTCAGTGGCCATGTTAGGGTGCCAGGCAGAGGCTTCCTGATCTCAGTTCCTCAACTCTCAGTGCTCCCTTTCGGTTGTGTCTCTCCTCCTGGACTTTGGGGAAAGAGCGTTTCATGGCCTCTGGAGAAGGCCATGACACAGTGCAGGCACACCTGGCAGCTCCTGGCTCCGTCATTTCTCTAAGCTGCAATTTTCTTACCTGCACCGTGGAGGTAAGACCCCTTCCCCGCCTGGTGCTCAGTCTTGAGATAGCGAGATGACGCATAGAGAAGCATTGGTAGTCCATAAAGCATGTCTATTTTTTATTTTTCAGTTGGAGTCTCACTCTGTTACTCAGGCTGGAGTACAGTGGCACAATCTTAGCTCACTGCAGCCTCCGCCTCCCAGCTTCCAGCGATTCTCCTGCCTCAGCCTCCCAAGTAGCTGGAATTACAGGTGCCTGCCACCACACCAGGCTAATTTTTGTATTTTTAGGAGAGACAGTTTCTCCCTGTTGGCCAGGCTGGTCTCAAACTCCTGATCTGAGATGATTCACCCACCTCATCCTCCCAAAGTGCTGGGATTACAGATGTGAGCCACCATGCTCATCCACAAGGGATTTTAGCTATCCAAGTCATCATTATCCACAGAAAGTCACCTAGTGAGCCACATAACACGTAAGTGGGGGTCCAGAACTCCCAGCTCCTGAAATGCAAGGCTGGTTATGACCAAGTCAATGAAGGGGCCAGGCCTGTGCAGCCATCAGCCCCGTCTCATGTCCCCAGCCCCACAGGTCTGTCTCAGCCCTGGCTCTGCTGTGTCATCACCTGGTGGCAGCTGATTGCTATGCCTTAAACATCAAGAGTTTCTGGAACTCTTGATGGGACTGCCAAGACAGATGCAAACTCCAGAACACTCCCAGCTGATGCCATTTTGTTGGCTTTACTGGAGAAAACTGGGGCGCAGGAACCCAATCTCTGCCTCCCTGCTTCTGAGACCTACTGCCTGCAGTTTCCCAACCAGCCTTCCCCTCTCCTCCCTGCCTGCCCCGAGAGAATACTTGATGACAACTGTGTTACCCTGGGCTATGTTACCTGGGCTATGTTACCCTGGGCTATGTTACCTGGGCTATGTTACCTGGGCTATGTTACCTGGGCTTTTCCTGTATCAACTTCTTCTGAACGTGTAGCTTTCCCTTCAATACCTGTGTTAATCACATGATGTGTGTGCAGAAGACATGGCGTCTGTGTGTGTGCATGTGAGCATGTGTGTGTGTGCACGTGTGTGCACATGAGCACAAACGCATCTGTACAGGGTGAATGGAAAGCTGGAGAGAGGACAGCTATCCTGTCTTCTTTCACTTTCAAATGATACTGAATAAATCAATTACTCCCACTAAGACCTTTTTCTGCCCTAGCAGCTGACATGGACCTAGCCTTCCTGCAGTACCACTTCGAAATCCCCTGTTGCCGCCACCTTCTCTCACTATATTCTTATTCATAGCATCCTCAGAAGTTCCCGCAAGTGGTGGGCTTTGAGCACTTTCCAAGGCCCCTTCCTTCTGAGAGGGCAGTGGAAGGATATCCTTTAAAAGCTGTCTGTGCTCAACGAGCAATAAAGGTCGTGCTTCATGGCTGAAGGTCAAAAGGCACAGGAAGCAATCAGGCACACAGGGCTTCTACTGATCTCCTTATTTGCCTTCTTTTCTTCTAAGACAATGACCGTGTGAGGCAGAAACACCCTTGGCTTTAAAATGCACTCACTCATTCATTCACTTATTCTTCCTGTTATTGAATCAGAGTTAAGTGTTCAGTTCTTTTCTTTGTGCTGGGAAACACAAAGACAGGCAGTGCCTGGTTGCTGTCTCAGGGAGCTCGACCTCTGGTGGGGAAGGCAGGGTAACCGGCAGCATCGCAGGCCGCGGGGCGCAGCACTGGTGGAGGCATGAACTGAGCCCACGAATCCCAGGAGATGGAGGGCCAGCTTCCCTGACTGCATGCTCTGCAGGGTCACCTTGTACAGCGTGGGGCACCCCACAGAGGGGCTTCACCTCCTAACCCTGGCAACACTGACCAACGTGCCAATGAGAGGGACAGGAGGGAACAGCTGATAACAATGGAACCATGTCTCTCCATCTGCACTGGCCCTGAGAGCACTTGGGGATAGGCAGAAGTCCCCCCACCGAATCCTTTTAGGGGGCACACAAAAAATTGCACTCCTCTCTGTCCTGTGTCAAGCCCCATGCTGTCTTCACTGTAAAGCACCTTCAGATTCCCTGTGCTTTCCGTCTGCCTATTTAATGGGAACCAACAAACTCTTCCAAAAGCAGAACCTTTGCAAAATCCGTGCTTTCAAATATTCCTGCCCAAAGAGGCAGAGCCACCGCCCGTTTGGATAACGGCAATACGGAGCAGCCGGGTGTGGAACATGCTGGAAGTTACTGGGGAGAAGGGCACCGTTTCCTGCCTTGCCTCAGTAAGCCTTAATGTGCAGTGTGCAAAGGGAAATGTCTTCATGCTTAGAATAAGGAATATTGGAAGCTACTGGTTATGAGGAAGCTCCTTGTCTTTCTCTTAGAACAAAGGCTGGGGTCTATTTGATTTAAATCAGAGAGCCCATTTCTAACTTACTGATGCCCTCAAGATTGGCGCTTTGCAAGAATCCCATTCTTTGAGAGAGTGGAATCATGGGAGTGTTCATTATGGCAAATCTGAGGATGGCTGGAGGCCTCCAGGAAACATCTTCCTAATTGAATCTACTGAGCACTGGGTTGAAAAAGCAAAGCTTAAATATGGCCGCAAAAGTACAGGCAGCAAAAGCAAAAAACTAGACAAATGCGATTGCACTACACTAAAAAGCTTCTGCACAGCCAAGGAAACAAACAACAGGGTGAAGAGACAGCCTGTGGAATGGGAGAAAATATCTGTAAACCATGCATCTTTTAAGGGGTTAATCCCCAAAATATGTAAGAAATCCAAACAACTCAATAGTAAGAAGACAAATAACCCAATTTAAAAATGGGCAAAGGACTTGCGTGGACATTTCTCAAAAGAAGACACACAAGTGGCTAAATGAAAAACGTTTTAACATCACTAATCATCAAGGAAATGCAAATTAATACCACAAAGACATATGACC